GATGGAGTGTGTATATATGGTTTTGGGATTCGAACAAAAGGCAGTTTGCATGGTTGAAGGTGGATACGACTGGTTGAGAGGAAATCGAATTTTGCTGGCCAAAGGAAACGATTTGATCTCTGATTCCAAATTGACGTAGGATGAATCAAACAATTACAGGAGAATGGGAAAGGGAAGAGTAGAGAACAGAAAGGAGGGGGAAAAAGAGAAGAAGAGGGAAATATAAGAGAAGGACGATAGAAAGGGGAGAAGAATTACTTTAAAGAGAGAAAATATATTTATCTCATTATCAAAGTTGTACGAATTATATTGCATAATTCAAACTAGTCCTAACTGAGTAGGAAAATACTATAAAATCTATGAAATCAAACCTTAATTATGTTTCCTAAAATAATTATCAAAATTGAAGTAAATCAAAATATATCTATACTAATACTCCATCATGGGGAACAGGAACAAGGAGAAGTGCGGAACATGAACAACTAGATACTTCAGGGGAGAGTGTGAGAAAAGAAGATCAGATTGGGGTTGTTCTTCCAATACTTGATATACCTATATCCCAAAGAAAAATGCCTATCACTCCAATTGTCACCAATGAATTTGAAAGGGAAGTTGGGGAACATGAACAAGGAGAAGTGAGGGAAAACAAACAATTAGTTTCTCAGAAAAAGACAACTCCAAACAAAACTTCAGGTTTACTTTAGAAGAAACAAGAGGATAGATACTTTTCTACTTGCTAATCCTCTGAACCATGCACTGGTCCAACAGATTCAGGTGAGTCTTCATTACCAAACGGAGTCAAAAAGCCATTTTCAAACCTTGATATTCCTATAGCTCTTATAAAGGGTGTTAGATCTTGTACTCAACATCCTATTTCTCAAATAGTTTTTTATAACAAGTTCAATCCACATTTCAAAATCTCCGTTGCTAAGTTCTCTGTCTATACAAGAAGCTCTAGAAGATCCAAGGTGGAAAGATACATTACATGAGGAAATGCGTGCATTGTACAAAAATATAACTTGGGAACTTGTGGAACTTCCACCTGGGAAGAAGACATTGGAGTGTAAATGGGGTTTTGTGGTTAAATTCAAACTTGATGGAACAATAGAAAGATACAAAGCTCATCTTTTTCCAAAGGGGTTCACCCAAACATCTGACGTTGATTTCCATGAAACTTTTGCAACAGTTGAAAAGATCAATACGGGACTTGTTATCCTTAGCTGCCATTGTGACCAACTGCTATAACAACTAGTTGTGAAGAATGACTTCTTACATGGAGAGCTAGAGGAAGAAGTATTCATAGATTCTCCACCAGGATTTGAAGCAAAATTTGAGGGAATGGTGTGCAAACTGAATAAGTCACTTTACGAGTTGAAACAACCGACATGGTTTGAAAGATTTACAAAATTTGTTCGTTCACACTGTTCTACAGGCATGCTTGTCAAATATATTCAATAAAAGACTCGATGCCCCTCTATGTAAGAGGTTATCTCATTATATAGAACCAAAATAACAACTAAATATGGAAGCAATCAATTACAATATTAATTAATGGTAAAAACAATCTATCTATATCTAATACAATTATAATAATATAATTGTAATCTTCGACGATTTTCGGAATCTTTTTCAATCTCCTTGACATCTCCCCTCAAATTGATGCTGGTAAAAGCATCAATTTGCAATCATGAACTGGCGACGATGACAATGCTTGTACCCACGAAGAAGAAATCCAAATTAGAGCAACCAACTACGAAAATTAGTGACGACGAGAGACCAAGAACAAATAATGCAAAAAAAACGAAGAACTACTCCAAAGCCACTTCAAGAACCCTCCAAAGATACTACGAGAAACAACAAGAAACTACGAGAACTCACACTTCCCAAGAAGAATTTCCAAAAGAAATTCATGAAATGTGCCGACACACACAGTGAGCTCTATCTGTTGGGAGAACTTAGTTGAACACATAATTCGTGTTCCAACAAAAACTCCAAATGCTGCAGGTGAAAGAAATCCCACAAAACAGCCGACACCAAAAAACCAAAGATGATTCTCCCATGAGAATCCAAAACCACACAAGGATGATCCTTCTCCGAAAATTCGAGATGAAATAAGACAGCAAATAAATCAAATAACAGTTTGAGCCCAATAAGATAGTCCAACAACAGTAACCCAACTAAAAAATCCAAAGAATATATTAATCCAACCCAACAAAGGAAAGCCCAAACAACACCTAATCCAATAACCTTAATCCATCAGTCCATATACAAGCCCACTTAAATATTATTCATCCAATACCCATAACAACAAACCAATGCCCAGGCCCATTATCGCAAAATACCTAATTAGCCCAAACCTAATGCCAAAAATCACATTCTTACAAACAACCCATAAGCAGTACATTAATCCCAAGTCCATATCCATTAATCAATATACCCACCAAACACTGACCCATAACCTGGCCTAATTACTTAAACAGCACAATAAACACAACCAATTAATTAACCCAAATCAATTGCCCAAGAGACCCAAACCCACCAACACGACCAAGTCCATCTTCTCCAGAAACTTGAAATGCCCCGTCACCAACCATTGCTGGTAGCTCCCAACAGCTCGTCGATGCAAAACAAGACCAGGTCTCGCCACCGACTGGTCGACACAGGTACTATCACCATTATGACCGGTACGACCACCAGTCCAAAATCCAAAACCGAAATCCGGGTTGAGTTCTATGTTGCTCGGACTCGGGTACGGGTATCGGGTACGGGTACGTATTTAAGTGTAGGGTTTTTTATTTTTAAAAATGAAGGATACGGGGACATGGCTAAAAGGAGTCCAAATTTCAGATACGGGTACGTGGGTACGTCTTCAAAATTTCAATTATTATTTTTTTCCAAAAACTTCATATGTAAAAAGAAAATTTAAATAATAATTAAGTTGTAAATTGTTAAAAGATAAACATGTCACTTAAAAATCAACTAGAATTTTTTTTTAAGCTTTTCGTATAAACATTTTAAAAAACGAAGAAACTAGAATTAATCAAAAATATTATTTGATTACTTCTATTTTGTCAAATGTTGAAAAAATATTAATTTCAGAAAATGCTATTAAATTGTTCTAAATAAATTATTTATGTTGATTTTATAATTATCAGTTAATCACTTTGGCAAAAAAAATAATATTTTAAATTTGTTTTAAAATTTTGTAACAATATTAATCATGATATTTTTTAAACTAAAATGATCTTATCGAGATTAAAAAAATCAAAAGCATATTTAGGAAATAATGAACATCGTGTAATTCGCTCAACTAATAATGTTGTAAAATTTGAAGAAAAAGATAAATAAATCCAACCAACAAAATTGTAAGATTGTAAATATAGTTCAATCACAATGGTTACATTTAAAAAAAAAAAAAAAAAAAAAA